AAAATAACAAGAACTAGCCTATAGTGTAGGAAAATCGCTCTTGATAGAGACGAGGGGAACAACAGTCCTTAAGACGTATGCATGAAATGAGGAGCCATCAAGGGGGACTGAGGCAGAGCAGTCAGAGGGGTCAAAGGAAAACCAGAGGTGATTAGATGTCTTGGTCACAGTGGGAAAACGCATAACCTCACTCTGTTTTCATCCTTATCGGAGACTAAAAGTTTATTTTCTGAAAAACCAACCTAAGAATTTCTGGACCTAGGTAAAGAATCAGCAGCACAGACTAAATACAGAAGAATGGAAAAGTCGATACTCTGAACTATGAGATTCCCCATCTCCCCTCCCCTGATTTATTCCCAGAATGCAGGTAGTCTGCCCCAGGGAGGTCACTGAAGGATTTTTCTCTGTAGAAACTACTGGAACATATACTTAAATAATAGGTAGACAGATAGATAGATGATAGATGATAGATTGATGATAGATCGATGATAGATATAGATAGATAGATGATAGATGATAGATAGATAGATAGATAGATAGATAGATAGATGATAGATAGATAGATAGATAGATAGATAGATAGATAGATAGATAGATAGACAGATAGAGACAGTTAAGCTAAGGAAGTAGAGATGCGGAATCCAGGAAACAGAGGATTTAACAGGCAAAAGGAGAGCAGGACAGCTGTGCAGCAGGAGGCCTAGAGGACAAGCAGTCCAGACTAAGTGGAGGACTGAACTAGGAAGGCCTCCAGAGAAAAATATGAAACTGATGGGTTTGGGTTTGGGAGGGGGTTGGCAGATCTACTGGAGCATTTGGAAAAAGTAAAGATAGGTACATAGAAAACCAAGTAGATGAAAAATTAAAGCAATTATTTGTATGAAAGGGAAAAGTGGTAAGAAGGAAACAGTCACAGTATACGTCTTGACTCAGCAGAAAAAAATATTTAAATTTATACCAGAAACATATTAATATATACGCATACAAATGCTGACTGCTGATTTATTTTTTAAAAGTGTGTAGCCCTGGCCAGGTGCCTCAGTCAGTTGTAGCGTTGTTCCCGTACACCAAAACAGGTTGCGGGTTTGATCTCCGGTCAGGGCACATACCTAGGTTGTGGGTTTGATCCTCAGGTCGGGGCATGTACAGGAAGCAATCAATTGATGTTTCTGTCACATTGATGTTTCTCTCTCTCCCTCTCCCTTCCTCTCTCTCTAAAAGTCAATGAAAACATATCCTTGGGTGAGGATTTTCTTTTAAAAAGTGTGTGATATAATCACATTGGGAGGATGGGAAAAGGGGAGAGATGGGACATGTGAGGGGACTAAACACTCAACCATCAGACAATAATGGGAAGACCAAAAATAATATATAAAACTGATTAATAAAAAGTCAGAGGACAAGTATATTATTTAGAAATATTGGAGATACATAGCAGAAGAAACAGCTAAGGGTTAGAAATGACTTTCTCCACGGAGCAAAACTTAGGCGAAAGGAGAGGGAGGTAAGGGACCGGTTTTCACTGTCTTTTAACCCTGGCTGATATTTTAACTATGTACACAAATTACTTTAACAAGAATAAAAAGTAATTAAAGAATAAATGGAAAGTATGGAAGTGGAGGCGCAGAAGTTTGAGTGCCTGTCAGTGGGTTAACTCGGCAGGAGGGAGACGGGCCAGTAGCTACAGAGGACTGCACAGCTGAAGAAAGAGTTGCTATAAAAGGGGAGAGGCCAGGGCATAGCTGTATCCTGCGTGGAGGTAACAGGCCGAAAGGAGGTAGAAGAGCAGAGGCTGAGGAGGTGATCAGGGCGGAGATGCTGGAAGAGGGGCAGGTGGTAAACACTAACCTCTGTCTAGGTCGAGGAAATTTTGGACTCGTACGTTCTTGTTTAGTGGGAAACCCTCTCTGGCAGTCTTGTCATCTCTCCCGTTCTCTTTCTTCCCTCTGGCCTCCCACATAAATGTTGCTCTTCCTATCTGACAGCCCTGGGGGTTTCCAATCAGGAAAGTCTCACTCTTCCCCCAGTATTCTGAAGCTACGAGGGAATGAGAAATTCAAATCTCTATGCATTTTACGTTATTGGACATGTTTTTATTTCCCTGAAATTGTACTCTTCCTACACAACACATCAAAGTTACTTCTTCACGCTTTTCCTGAAGATATTCAAGTAGTGGATCTGGTAGCACTGTACCCTTAATGAAGACACTAAAGTCTCTAGAGAGCTAATTGTCGCACATTAAGTTGCCCTCACTGAAAATCTGTTGAAAATGCCAGTGGCAGCTGAATGACTCTGTGTAAGCAGGTGACTTAGACAGGAAGGTTGTTTTTCAAGCAATGATACCCTTAGGGCCATGCCCCATACAGAAACGTTTCTGGTATCATGTATGCTAAATCGTCAGCACATAAAAATTAGTCTCAGGAAGGGAATACCATGGCCTCTCTGTAGCTGTGCAGACGGTGCCCTGCACGTCCTCTGGGGACGCCATCACATTGAAATCTGTGGAAATGGCACCCCCCCTCCCCTCTGCTCCCCAGGATGGGACCTGAACAGCAGCTATACATGAAGCCTTGGTGAGACCCTTTTTATTTTCTACACAATGCTACGTCCCAGGACAGGGAAAAGACTCTAATCTTTTCATCCCATTCACTCTTATAAAAGCACATTAAACTGCATCTTAAAAACATTATACTCACAAATGGGAGCTGGAGTTGGAGTGCTTTTAACCCTCCACCTCCTATCCCCTGTGGATTTCATTTCTAATATGTGGTTTAGAACAAGGCTATCCAATAAATGTAGAGCTGGTTCTAAAATTACAAAGAAAAACTGCCATGGCAGTTGCTCTTTATCATTTCTGAAAAGTGAATATGTGTTGTTCTGCCAAGTTTTCTTAGTAGCTGTACTTTGCAGGTGGCTCTGTTCCAAGGTCCAGATGTATAAAATAAACATCCTGTACATGCACCGTTAAGCCTTTCGGAGCACTCGCCCTGCAGATGGTGTGGACTTCCAGGCAGAAATGACGTAAGCATGGTGTGAGCAGGTAAAAGCAAAAACAGCAACAGTGACAATAAGATTATGATAAAAGTCACTGAAAAATGGCAGGTGAAGTCAAAAGGAATGCAGTGTTTCATACTTTTGACACCTCCAGTGGCTTAAATACCGTCTGTTACGGTACAGTAACACTGAATACCCTAAATGCCAGCGAACACCCTTGCTTTTGAAAAGGACTGTGTCCACTTTACAAAAGGGGGAAAATTCCCTTTTAAAGAAAATATAAGGCAGTACTCGAAATGGAAGGATCTCTTATTTAAACTTGTTTAAAGTCCTGTTTCATAAAGTCTTCATTCTTAGTCTCTTTGTTTTTCTACCTTGAAATCCCATTATTGTAGCACATCTGTCCTGGTTGCTCAACATTTTTAAATGCATATGCTGAGAACTGATGAGCCGTAGGCAACAGAGATCTGATTAAAGTGACTGGGAATACTGTGAGGCATCTACTACTGTTACATGTAATTCAAGTCCAGGTTCTGCAAGGGATAGGAAATCTGGTGTGAAAAGAACTTAGAGAAGAGTCTATTTATCTGAAGCATGATGAATCATGGGCTAAAAACTAATCATATATTTTTAAAAATCTTTTTCTCCCCAAATAATCAAGAGCAGGACCTATCCAGATACAGTCCTCAGAATTCAAAAGTGGAAAAATAACCTGTAACTTTGTAGTTATTGTATCTTTGTAAAATTCACCCATTGACTCAGAAATCTTGACGAAGGTGCTGCCTACATAAGACCTCATGTGCTATACTACAGGTTATTAGCCTTGAGCTCATTGGTGGTTATTTGACTATGAAGCAGTGTCCACTTTCACATGGTTAGTCTCCTCACAAAGACACGTGGCATTTTGCACTCACACACCGTTTCATGCTGATTAAAACATGCTTAGGATTAATGAAAATGATACAAATGCAAGTAAAAATGAAAGGAATAATAATCCAGTTCTCTACAAAACACACACACACACAATCATGAACTGGTTTTATATTTGCAAGTAAAGTTCACAGATAACTGAAGAAAATATTTCCATTCAATTAAGCTATGTATGATGTCATTTTTTTTTCTTGGCATTAACGTATCAGAATTTGCTTTCTGCTATTTCCTATCCATTACAACCTCTGTTGAGCTATAAGGGGCCATTTGGCAGCTCTATTCAAACCATTCCACGATTTAAGTCAATTGTGCACTTGAATAGAGCATGAGTCTGACATTAATGGTTCTCAAATTCTCAAATTATTGTCTATGAAACTCTGGGAATGTTCTGAGATGGCCAAATCTCTACAATACACACAGACACACACAAATAAGTAAAACTCTGTTTTAGGATTCCATATTCATTTCCATTTTATTTCACATTCAAATTATTTCCTTAAATCATCTCAGAGGCTTTGATTTTGCAAAACTTCAGAGGTCCAGGCCCTGTGATAACTAGATGTTTCTTCCAGCACATGAAGCAAATTTGGGATTTGATAGAGGTGAATGACAATTATTAAACTACTTCCTATTTCATAATAGAATTTTTGAAAAATCAATTATTGTGGGACAAGGCCTATTAAATTTGATTTACAATTAAGAACCATGGGAGCAGGCTTTGGAGAGGATGTTAGTCAGCTCCCGTATCTGACTAATAAAAAAAACTGAGTTTCAGATGGGTTAATTTTGATGGATCCATTTTCTAGAAGCAAAACTGGGAGTAGATGTCAGGCCCTGCCTCAGGCCCAACTTCCTCCACCAAGCAAACGGCAAACAGTAGTTTTGTTGGTTAGTTTTGTCCCCTAGCATGAAAACAAATTTACAAAATAGGAAAAACACATGGCTATTAGTAAATTATTTTATAAACAAGATATTTAAAACTTAAATTAGTACATGTGAAGAGTTGGCACGAACAGACGAAGGTTTGTTCACCGTAGCAGCGGCGTCTGCACAACATACCCCCTCAGCCAGTGCCCTCAGCCCTTCCCCCCTCCGAGAGAGGTAGCGCTGCCGGATGCAGATTTCTTCAGCTCTATTTTCATAGACTGAGTCTCAGCTCGAGGCTCGAATTTGGTCAGATTTCCTGCTCCTGGGGCTGCCACTACTGGCTTTCCTGCTTTCATACCTTTTGACATAGGAATGCGGGTGGGTGTAGGCCGCTGGGATGACCCGTCCTGTCCTGACTGTAAGAGAGAAAATACAGAAACACAGAGGAGATGGTGGTGAGTTTTGCCCTGGATATGCCGTCGCTCTGAACCTTAGCAGGACTCTAGCCACAGACAACCCCTCCCCAAGTTAAATTACCGTTAGAAACTTGGAGTCGTCATCTAATCCACTCTGATTGCCTCCTTTTCTCCTCTCCTGAAACATCTATGCCAAACTTCCTTCTCTTCCCAAGCCCCTATCCTACCTCCTCTGCCCTTGCTGAAGATGACCTTGCCTCCTATTCACAGAGAAAACACAGGCCACCTGGGATAAACTTAGGCAATTTTGTTCCTCATGTCCCCCCAAATTATCTCCATTTTCTTTAGATAGCCAGCTCTCCTTTCACCTCCTAAGGACTCAGAGTCTTCTCCCTTTTTCACTGTCACTGATGACCACACCCTCTTTCTTGAAGCGCTTCTAAAACTCTCTCGCAGTCATTTCTTACTTGAGTCTTGCCCACCACATCCTGGCGGTGATGAATGCTTTTTCATCTTTTGCTGGCTTGGCTCCGTGTCCCAGCTTGCCTGCCTGCGAAATGTGGGCATCACCATATTCCATTCTCAGCCCTCTTTGAATTTTTTCACGCTGAGGATCACGACAGTTATCAGCCTATGTGTTGATGAGTTCCAGACCTCAAGCCCTCAATGCTCTCCTTAAATACAGATCCAGGTTTCCAACTACTTGTTAAACATTTCCAGTGTCCCTCAGACATCTCAAATAGAACACGCCCCAAACGTTACTTATCTTCTCCTCCAGACAGTAGTCTTCCCTTGTGTCTCATCCTACCCCCCCAGGCATCCAAGCCAGAAACCTCAGAGCCATCCTTTACACTCAATTTCTCATGAAATCTTCAATTCTGTCTTCAATATAGTTCTGTCCTCATTTTCACTGCCATTGTTCAGGCCTACACCATCTCTAGCCTAGAGAACTGCAGCAGTTCTCTGTCCTCAGCCTCTGTTCCCTCCAATTTATCCCTTAAACTGTTTTATACACAAGTAATGTAATGTTTTTGTAATCAGCTTTACCCTTTCAATACCCTTTGTCTACTCTATGAGATTAAATGCCAGTTTCATAATAAGACATGTGCCTCTCTTCACTATCTGCCCCCAATTTGCATCTCCATTTTCTGCTCTTGCCTTTTGTCTGCATGCCCCACAGCTGCTGCACAGGGGGACTGCTCACCTTTCCCCAGACATGCCAGGCTCCTCCACATTGCCATGCCTTTGCACACCCTGTTCTCTCTACATACTCCTTCCCTTCCTGAAAATCACTGAGAAAACCTCCTCCTCTGTGAAGCCTTCTCTGGTGGTTCCTATGTATGTCCACTCACGAGGTAGGTTCCAATCCTGGCTCTCCCACTAAACTGAGAACTTCTATTCAAGGTCCTCTTTGCACTCAGCACCTAATCCAGTGGCTGAAATGTAGCTAATACTCAATAAATTCAATACTTCAGTGAATTAATGCACAAATAAACTAGCCTCACTATTTGATTTCTAAGAGGGGTGTCCCAAACTTTTTGTTGCCCTTAGTTTAATGGGATAGGATATACCTGAAGTAGGTGGGCTGTTATTTAAAACTTAGATATCTTACAGCTAAAATTTCCTATTTGTGTATGGGGTTTAATCGGTCGTCACAAATGTTGCTACAGGAGGCAAGGCCATCTTGATTTGACCCTTAAAATGGGAATAAGATGTTCCAGCAGAGAAACCTGCTCTCAATTACAACAACTGACACCTCCACTGTCTTTTGATGAAAATTCAAGCTATGTGTTGCCTAAAAAGCCATATTGAACCATTTGAGAAGGGTGAGCAATTCTGAATGCTATTCAGCTCCTGTAGAGCCAATAATGAAAAGCTTTCCTGGCAAAGCAATTACTAATTCACATTTCGAAGCCTGTCTTGAGTCTATGCACACAGAGAATTAAAAGTAAATTATATTGAAGATACGGGAAACTAAGCCACAGTTTCTATACTTAAATAAATACGCTTTCTTAAGAGTTTCTAATATATTCTACAGAATTTGAGACTGTACAGAGTCTCAGAATCGTAATTTCTAGTCCATTTGTTTAAATTAACATCTAATTAGTAAATGATCTGTAATTTCATTTACCAATTTGTCCTCAATAAATGAAGACAGTCACTGGAAGCATTTTGAGAAATAGAATTTATTTTTAAGTTCTGGATCTTATACTTTGGACACACTTTTTTATTATCATTCACTTAGCCCTCCAGCTGGTTATTAAATAATATTTATCAAGCACTTGTAAGATAGTATTAATAAGATATAGTGTTTGGACATATCAACAATTCTTTTTTATTTTGAAAAAAGTTTTTAATATTAAAATCTTTTAATCTCATTTTTTGTAATAAAGTATGACTACAGTCATACATAATCACATATTGAGTATTATAGCTTATAGAAATATAACCCAGGAACAGTTTTATTTTTCTTGCATAGTGACCGTTTCCCCCTAGTCTCCATTTTAAAAAGGATTTTAAACATAAAAAATCAAATTTTTAACATTATCACTATATCCTGACATTACAAAGAGGCCGTCTTTGAAAGTATTTTGGGGGCGGGAAGGGTCTCCAAAATTTACATGAAAAAAAATTTTCCCTCAAACTTAGCTCATGCTGCCTGGCCAGCATGGCTCAGTGGCTGAGCATCGACCTATGGTCCAGGAGATCATGGTCTGATTCCCGGTCAGGGCACATGCCCGGGTTTCAGGCTCGATCCCCAGTCAGGGGCGTGCAGGAGGCAGCCGATCAATGACTCTCTCTCATCATTGATGTTTCTGTCCCTCTCTCTCCCTCTCCCTTCCTCTCTCTGAAATCAATAAAGACATATTTTTTAAAAAATTAGTTCATGCCCCAATCCGGTAGCTCAGTTGGTTGGAGCATCGGCCCATGCACCAGAAGGTCAAGGGTTCCATTCCCGGTCAGGGCACATACCTAGGTTGCGGGTTTGATCCCTGGTCAGGGGGCATACAGGAGGCAACTGTTCGATGTTTCTCTCTCTGTCTCTCCCTCTGTCTCTCAAATCAATAAACATATCCTCGAGTGAAGATTTTCAAAAATTAACTCAATTTATTAAAATACTAGGCCACTTTTAATTTTCGTTTCCTGGTGAGGTTAGTCCTCTAGGAAACATCTGCTAGTGAGCTCAGGTGGGGCCAGAGGCACTTGCTTTCGCTTTGTTTCGGGCACTGGGGTATTCTCACTGCTCACTGCTTCCCTCCCTGGGCCTGCACTCTGGAACCTCTTCTACTCACCACTGACTGGGTTCCTCGAGTGGAGGAGGTTGTGACTGGTGTTATGGTGATAGTGCTTGTCACTTTGTTAGCCCCAGGTCGTGAGGCGAGATGGTTCCTGGGAGAGCGAAGGACAGTGCCAGTGGAGACCTCCTTTTCGGCTGTCACGTTCACAGGCCGGACAGTAATAACTGGACTCGCGCCTTCTGCTGAAGTCCCAGGGGACCGCTTAAACTGAGAACCTAAGTGGATGTGAATTTTATTGTCTTCTGTGGTTATGATATTGGCATTGGAGTTGTATTTCCGTACTGGAGTTGGAACAGTCTGTTTTTCTGGGGTGACTTTGAGGACCGTCCTTCCCATGGGCATTTCCTGGGAGTCGGGAGAGACTGCAATCTCAGCTGGGGCAGCTGACGTAGACACTGTCATTATCTGAATGGGGGATGTGGGCCTGTCCGCAAAGGCACCTCTTCCACTGTCTGGGGTTTTCTCTCTGGAATATGTGGTAATTGTGACTGGGGACATGGCTCGCTCTGTGCCGAGAGTACTATCTCCACTTTTTGATTTTTGAGACATAACATTTGGTGATGGAATAATGGTAATCCTTGGTTTCTGATTCCCTAATGTAGGAATGACGGTGGTACTAGAAAAAAATTCTTCGGACGTCGGGCTTGTTATCTCCAAAGTCGCAGTACTGTTCTCATGGTCTGGTGTCACTCGAATATGCAGGGGCTGGCCCTGCTTTGGTGAGAGAACCAGCTCTCCCGGGTGCCCTGGACTGGAATTTGTCCGAGGCCCTTTCTCTGGGGTGACCGAGGGCCCGTTTTCCCTTTTTTTCATCCATGGAATCCAAGACTTTCTCATGGTGAGCTCATTTGCTGCTGGAGGGTACCTGTCTAGAACAGAGGATCGCTCCATGGGTTTTTTCAATCCCACCTGTCGAAGATTGCTCATGATATGATTTTCCTCTTGAAAGGATTTCCGTATAAATACTGCTGGCGTTTCTTCCTCTGCTCCCTCACTGCTGACAGCATCAGTCTGTACTCCAGTTGAGGTCACAGGAATATCCACCATTCTTCGCCCATTCATACTGGGTCTCAGGGCTCGGCTGTAGCGCTTAGAAAGCTCCAGCTCTTTGGTCAGACTGAGGACCTCCTGTCCCATGTTTTTGTTCTTATTTTCTTCTTCCATAAATCTTTGTTGAAGGACCGAATAATCCACTTGGAGCTGAGAAAGCTGATCTTCTTTGTTCATTAATTCATGAATCTTCTCCTTAAGAGCTTGCACTTCGGCTTTCAAGTCTCGACTTCTGGCCTCTTCTAACCGAAACCTGTGTCTCAGCTCCGCTTCCTGGCTCACAGCCTCCCCTTTCTCTATTGCTTTATTCTTGGCAATTTGGTGCTTTATCTCCTCCAGTTGCTGAGAGAGGAAATTAGCCTTATCTTGCTCAGTCCTAAATTTCTGCTCCAGCTGGTCATATTCATCCTCCGTCTTCATCAAATCCCCTTCCACCACCTCCAGTTGCTGGAGACGTTTCTTCAGTCTCTCGATTTCAAGTGTTAGTTCCTTAATCTTGTTATCTTCTGGGCAGGTGAGCTCGGGTCCTTTTCGAGTCCTTCCTCTTGTTATTTCTCTTTCCACTTCCTCTATCCCATCGAGTCTCTTCTTTAATAAGTCGACACTGCAGCTTAATTCAGAGGATTTTTCTTCTTCACTTCTCAGTTTGCCTATTAACTCATCCCTCTCTTTTGTCAAACTGTATACTTTTTCCTCCATTTCCGATTTCAGTTTTAAAAGCTTCTTACTCTCTTCGATTAGTTTTTCAGTGACATCCATAACCTTTCCTTGTTCCACCTTAAAATTTTTATTGAGTCCGTCTACTTTTCTCTCCTCTTGCTTTATTTTTTCCATCATATTTTTCCTTTCATCAACCAGCATCACAGTAAATGACTTCAGCTTTGTAAGATCATCTTTTAGGCTCAATTCAGCCTTTTCCAGTCTACTTTCGGAGCATTCCAGTTCTTTAACTCGACTCTTGACCACTTCCAATTCATTTAGCAGGTCTTTGGTTAGGTTCTTTTCTTTCTCCAGATTTAAATGGAGCTGGGTGCATTCGGATTTACTCTTGCTAAACGCTTCTTCCAATTTCTCCAGCTCAGACATTCTCTTCTGCAACTTCTCAACTTCGAGTTTGAGCTCCCTGCTATGATGCTCTTCCTCCTGCAGCTTCTTCCTCAACTCCCTGCACTGGGATTCCGTTTTCGTGATCTCTTCATCTTTACCCTCCATTTCGAGCACACGCTTCCGGAGATTTTCCACTTCTGCCATGAGGCTGGAGTTGCCACATTCCCCCTTGGCAATTTTATCTCTTAATTCCTGAAGTTCTTCCTCTGCCTTTTGAAGATTTTTGTTGGTCTCTTCTAGCTCCTCGATTCTCTGAGTTAAGCCGACCAGCTTGAGTCTCAGTTGCCTGTTATGAGACTCTTGATTAGCCAACTTAGCATTCATCTCTTCATGCTCTTGGGAAAACCTCGAAGCCTTGTGCTCAAAATCCACTTCTAACTTGAGCAATTTCTGCCTGTCTTCTTTGGATTTGGAAGTAATGGCTCTGAGCTTTTCTTCTTCCTCCCTCAGTTTCTGAGTAAGATCCTGTACTTTCTGGCTTTGCAGGCCAAGTTGCTCAATATGCATTTGTCTTTCATCCACCAGCATGAGTGCAAAGGACTTTAGTTTCACAAGCTCATCTCTTAGTTTATTGAGCCTCTTAGCATTTTCCTTTTCTTTACGGGCTTGGTAAGCCTTTTCTTGTTCAAGGAGCTTTTTCAACCTATAAAACAAAATACATTAAAATATTATATTTTATTATATATACTATATATATTCTATCTGTATGTATTATATTTATTATATAAATATTAAAAGATTAACCAGCAAAGAGGTTTGTCTTAGATATTAAATAAAATGCTATTACAATAAGTCTCTTATTAATTGCTGCAATATCAAGGTTTAACATTAACAAAACAAATCAGAAATCAAGATATTAGTTACCCTTAGAGAGGGGCAGTAACTAGAAGTGGGTATGAAGAGGTACCAGTTTCTGTTTCATGATTCATGTGTTGGTTACATAAGATTGTTCAGCTTATAAAATTTCCATAGGCTTACCACTTATATTATACTTCAATAACATGACCATTGAATAACACTTAGGTTGTGCAATAATAATGGCTACTTATATAGTGCTTTCTGTATTCTAGGTACTAGAAATTATTTTATCCTACGAACCATGTACTGCTAGTATCATCCCCACGAGGAAAATGAGACACAGCACCTGCCACAGGTCACACAGTCAGTAAGTGGCAGAGTTTGGATTCAAACTCAGGCAGAAGGGTTCCAGAATCCTGGCTCCTCACCTCTGCATCATATGACTACAAAAAAGAAACTTACTTTATTTTTTTAACTTTATTTTTATCGTTGACACTATTAAGAAATTTACTTCAAATAAAACAGAAGGCCCAAAAAAGAACCTTCAGGGGTTTCTTATTTCATATGCAACTATCACCTGACAGGGACAAAGCAAGATGAGCTTTCTAATAGAAGACTGATCTACATAAACCAATCTTAGTTAACACCAGAACTCGCACAGGATTTTGTCTCAGTTTGCTGATTTAAACAATTTTTTTAAATAGAGAACTAGGAAATCTGAATTACTATTAATACAAAAGTATGGCAGCCACAGGAGTTATTCTGTTTCACATGCATGCAGTGCATTTTCTCCATTGTGTTTATGTATAGCTTTAAAAACTAGAAATATAAATACACCAGAGTACCTATTTACCATCCTTGTGTTGGTCAGTTAACTTGTACCAATTTTTAATAGTTATTTTCAACTACTCATACAAAAAGTTCAAATAAATACCAGATTCATCGTGAGTATGAGAATACATTGTAGTAATTTTTGTTTACAAGAGAGGCAAGTTATAAGCAACCACTAGCATGTACTTGTTTAAGCATATTTTTTTGGTTGTTTTTGTGAATTCTCACCCGGGGATATTTTTTCCATTGATTTAAAAAGAGTGGAAGGGATGGAGGGAAGGGAGGAGAGAGAGAGAAAGAAAGAAAACATCTATATGAGAGAGACACATTGATTGGTTGTCTCCCACACGTGCCCTGACCAGGGCCAGGGATTGAACCTGAACCCAGGTACATGCCCTTGACAGGGAATTGAACCCACAACCCTTCGGTGCCCAGGCTGATGCTCTAACCATTGAGCAACACCGGTCAAGGCTAAGTACATTTTAAAAATATATTTTGCACTTTATTCTGAATGATTTATTTGATATTTATGACTAATTTATTTCATAACAGCTGTTAGCCGAGTAAATAGAAGTTAATAGTCTCACATTGCATTGTGTAAGAAATGACTGGACATACACATAGAAGTTCTTTATAATCAAATCCTCTGTCAGATTATTACTATAGAAATAGTTCTGATGATGTCATTAAGATTTTTAAATGGAATTTATTTTTAGAAACCATATCCTGTGTCTAAGCATCTATTAACTAAATACATAACTTCCAAAACCCATTATGACTTTATTCCTAAAATTGAAGAAAAACACTGTTTTCAGATCCTATGGACTCGCATGAGCAATACAGTAATGGCTTCACTAACTGTGGTTCTTACATGTGTAAAAGGGCATTTTGTTGTCATCTTCTCTTCATTTGGAGCCAAAACAACTGAAATAATGTCACCGAACTATAGAGTAAGAGAGACTAAGGGGGACGTTTTCAAATTCCTTGACCTTAACCAGATTGTCAGAGAGGAATTCACTGAGAACATCAATGCTTTCAATTCTAAAATTAAATATTAAAAGTTGTCAAGATATTTGCTTAAGCACCCTATGCCTCTCTGCTGTTAGGAGCAGTAGGTTGGAGTGGCTAACCACTGCTGAATCTCAGTTCTGGCCCTGCCATTTTCTAAGTGTGTAACGTCTGGCCAGTCACTGAAACTCTCTGACCCTGTTTTCTCAGATGTAAAGGAAGGAGCGAGGGATATTGATACCTCCTTCATGGGATTGTTCTGAAGACTGAGATAGTAGAAGTGCCTGACACATAGGCTCAGTGCAGAGATATAATAAAATGTCATTAAAACAAATATAAGAACTAGAGTATGCTCTTCCCTCCATCTGAAAAGTCTGTTGAATGCTTTCTGTGTTTAATCCAGAAGAATTTTTATGTCATTGTCCTGTCTTTGATAGTAAAACCTGGGGCCCCGGTGTTCCAGCCATAGAAAAGTAGACTTTCTGATCAGTAGGAAATCCTTTGAGCTAGACCATGACAGTGGAAGGAATTTGGCTTCCAGAAAACCACATTTTTCAGGTCCTCGCTGTGGTTATTTCTTTTTCTAACCCCATTAAGCTGTCTCACCTCCCCTCTTCTATCACATCTTAAACTGTTCCCATCTCTTAATTAGAGTGGGCCTAACTAACAACAATACACCGCCCATTCTCTGCATTCTCCCCAAATCCATTTCCCTGTTGGTGTAACTGAGGGTTAGATCCAGGACCAAGGTAAATTGGGATGGCTCAGCTGGGACAGCCTGCCAGTAGTGTTCTATGTAAATAGATCTGCATTCAAATTTCTACACCCAGGACATTAAGGTTGGGAAGGATGGGATGAATTGTGAAAACTTTGCAAAAGGTAACTTGACACGGGCTTTGTGATGCTTACTCACTAAGAGGAAGGGAGAGAGAGAGAAAAAAACTACTTCAATGCTTTGGGTCTGAATTATTGCAAATAATAATACCTCTAAAAGGAATATGAAAAACAGGTGAGAAAGAGTATTAGTATTAGTAGAAACCTGAGGTAAAAGCAAAACAGTCAAGTTGAAAAGTTTGCCAAGCAACAGTTAACAATACTGTATTGTACACTGAAATTTTTATTAAGAAGGTAGATCTCATGTTGTGTTATTACCATAATAAAATAAAAAATTAAAAAGTACACCAAGCAATTAGAAATGTAGTGCTTTGAAGATAAATCCTATGAATTTTACAGCCCACATATATCCTAACCTATTATCCTAATGCTTCCCCACTGCATTACTCCAGTTCAAACCCTGAGCATCTTTTACTGGTAATTGTACAACAGCCTCCTGAGTGCTCTGCTCACAGTGTCAGCATTGCCACTTATTGGCTGTATGATCTTGGACAAGTTATATAATCTCTCTATATACCTCAGTTTTCTCACTGCTAAATTGGGCACCCAAATAGTATCTGATTCATAGGGTTTGTGTGGGGTGCATATCAGTTAACATGTAAAAAACACTATCATGCCAACCTATAGTAAGTGTAGTTTTAGCTTTACTGTTATTATATCTCACCCAAATACAAATATGATCATGTCACTCCCTGGCTTTCCATGGCTTCCTACTGCTGTAACAATAGAGGCGTGAAATTCATAACATGGCCCAGCATGATTTGATTCCTGACTACCTTGGCAGGTTCATTTCAAGTCAGTCTCTCCCATTATCTAATCTGCTAAGATTCCTTGTATATGCCATGCTCCCTGCTTAGTATTTCCTCCCTGTTCCTCCTTTCACTTTGACACACACACTAAACACACCTGGCTGAGTTTTTTATCCTTCAAGTCTCATTTAAATGTCCCTTCCCCCAGGAAGCCTTCCTTGACCAACCTGATTAAGTTACATCTTTTTATAGATTCCCATCCTGTCATTATTTTGCTTTGTGCTTTAAACAATTAATGTGCATTACTGAGAACCATTTCCATGTAATTATGCTATTTAAGGAACAAAACAAGAGCGTTTTGGTGTTGCTTGTATCTTACCATCTCCTGTCCACTCCCCTCTCTGCCCATCTTGCCATAATTCAACCACAAGCTAATTCTAAACATATTAGCACAAAAAGGAAACAAACCAGGAGACCAAGACTAAGAAGGTGAATTAGTACCCTGACTTTCATCAGCAATTACAAGCAGAGCCCTAAGTATCTTGAAATCAAATTTATTCTTTGCAAGTTCTTCATTTTCTGCAAGCATTTTATCTTATTTAGAGGACAAAAGGAAGAAAGTAAAGGATCTAACAGATTTTTCAGCATTCTCTTGTCTTCCTTAATAACTATTAAATGTATTGCTCATATCTCTTTCAATCTAAATAAAACTTTATTTTTTAACTTGTAAGTTTGTCATTTATAAGCATGTTAATAAATTCAATTGTTTTCAACTAGAAGACTTTAAAAGTGTAGGCACAAATGCTCTAATTATTATGGTGTATACATTTATCAAGATTCATCAAATTGTATATTCAAAATTGGTGAATGTTATTAAATGTAAATTATATTTCAATAAAAAACATGGTAAGAAAAGTAATATAAAAAGCCCTAGAAAGTATTCCAAGATGTCAGATGAAGAGAGAAAAAGTTATAAAATAAGAGAGTGACTTAAAATATGATAAAAATATAAAATAGGTTATTAACCTTATGACAGAAAGAAGTGAAAGCAGAAGTCAGAAAGGTAAAGAGAAGAGGGCTAACACTTTCAGGTGGGATTGGAGAGATTCACAAGAAACTTTGTTCTGGGGAAATAATGTGTCAGGTACTAGAAAACCTCTAGTCCTAATATTATTCAAGAGGCTCTTAAAAGCCCACCCCAAACTCCAATATTTGCTAATACCTAATTTTGTTTTTAAAAAAGGCTAGAAAGAAAGGTCTTTGATAATAAAACATCTTATTTACCAAATACTTATTACTTACTAGGCAGTATGTTAAGTACTTTATTACTCATTTCATTTTCATAACAACTTTTTGAGCAAGG